TCATACTGTCTACACCTTCCCTTCATACTCGGTTTAACATTTCCCATATTGATACCTTTCTCTTTGGTCTTAACTCTACCATATCTTCCCAAATTAGATTCCTGCCCCACTCTACTTCCCTAGTTATGCAGTTGGAAAGAACATCGGTCCTCAGTGATTCAGGTGGAGACTGTGCCATCCATATAGCTCCCATTTTCCCCCGGACTGGTGTCAGTGTTCTACAAGCCAGAAACCAGGCCAGTCTTGGAGCCTTGCATTCAACTTTCTAACCAGTTCTGCCTTGCCAATTTGCAGGTGGCTGAGGCAACAGGAACATGGGAGCAGTAGGCCATTTAGACCCTGAAGCCAGTTTCGTCATTCAGGCAGATCATGGCTGATCTATGCCCTAACTCCATATAACTGCCTTTGGCCCATATCCCTTCGCTGAAAATAAAAATATTTTGGATTTAAAATTAACTAATCTAGCATTCACTGCCACTTGTGAAAGAGTTAAAAACGTCTACCACCTTGTGTGCGTGTAGAAATGCTTTCTAACCTTCTTCCTGAAGAGCATATTTTTAAAATTCTTAGACAATGCCCCCTAGTTCTAGAATCCCCAACCAGTGGTAGTAATTTATTTACCGTCTTTTCCTGTTTATCAGTTCACACCGTAACCGCCTAAATTCTAAAGAAAACATGCCTAATTTGTATCTCTCTTCTTAACCCCAGAAGTCCAGATATTGTCTTGTAAACCGACATTTTGCTTCTTCCAAGACCAAAATAGCTTTCCTAAGATGTGATGCCCAGTTCTGTTCTCAGCACTCCAAGTGGAGTCCAACCAGGGATTTGTATAACTGCAGCATAAACCTCTGCATCCTTATACTTTAGTCATCTAGCTACCAAGGCCAGCATTCCATTAGCTTTCTTGACTATTTTCTGCACTTGTTCATGGCAGTTTAAGGATTATGAACCCCGCTTTGCCTTGCCTATGTCCTTGGTACCTATATGGCCCACAATGACTGGATCCTTCCCCTCCCACTACAGGTTCCTTTTCAGGACTCAGCAGATGTCCCAAACTCTGGCACTGGGCAGGTAACACAGAATCTTGACTCTATATGTTCTGCCGGGAATGGTCACAATCTCCCTCATTGTATGATCTATTCCTCCTAATATCCCCACTTCCTGCACCAGGGTGCCACAGTCAATTAACTTGAATGTACCACTTTTCACATCAGAACTTTTGAAAAGGTTTATTTTCTTCTCTGCAACTCCCCCCTTAAATTGACAGACAAGCAACTGAATGTGCCCATCCCATTTTCAGGACCATCACTTTCACCTTTTCTCTATCCTTCCAGCTCTTAATGACTTACAGTGCAGGAGGCCACCATTTGGCCTATCACACCTACACTGGCTTGTTAAGAGCATCATTGCCTTATGTCTGTTTCCTGCTCCCCCACCCCCCCAACACCTTTCAACTTTTTATCCAAATAATCATCCAATGCCCTCTCGAATGCCTCAACTGAATTTGCCACTACCATACTTCCAGGCAGTGCATTTCAGATCCTAATTTCTTGCTGAGTGAAAATGTTTTTCCCTCACTTCATCCTTGCTTCTTTTGCAGATCGCTTTAAATCTATAGCCACTTCTCCCTTTCACAAGCAGAAACAGTTTCTCCCTATCTACTATATCCAGCCCACTTGTGATTTTGAAAACTTCCATCAGAACTCCTCTTAGCCTTCTCTCCAGAGACAGCAGCCTAATCTATCCACGTAACAAAGTCCTCATTCCTGGAACCATTCTCTAAAACAGTTCTGCCCTCACTCCATTGCATTCACATTCTTATTATAATGTAGCCCCCAGAATTGTACAAATATTCCAGCTGAGGTCTAACAAGTGTCTCTCAAATTCAACATTGCCTCCTTGCTGTTGTGCTCTATGCTCCTATTATTACAGCCGAGGACACAGAATGCTTTACTGCTCTACTTGTTCTGCATATACAACCTGGTTCTTCTCTTCCTGCAAATCTCCTTAGAATTGTACACCTCATTTTTGTTGTCTTTCAAATGTTCTTCCTACCAAAATGTATTGTGTTACATTTCTGTTTGAAACGTATCTACCACTTGTCTGTCCCGTCCATCAACCAGTCTGTACACACTAAAGATCTGGATAATTTACATATATTAGGAAAACAAGGGTCCCAATACAGACTCCTGGAGAACTCCCCACAAACCTTCCTCCAGCCTGACAAATATAGATTGATCATTACTCTGTTTCCTATCATTTGCCAATTTGGCATCCATGTTGGGGCTGAACCTTTTATTCCATGACCAATAATTTTCCTCAAGTCTGTTGTGTGGCCCTGCATTGAACATCTTCTGGAAATTCACTGCATCAGTGATGCCCTCATCGAGCTGGTTACCTCTTCAAAAAAAAACTCTAATTTACTTAAACGTGAAATCACAGATTCTTGTTTATGAATACAACTTCTCCCCACTTAACTACTAATTATGTTCCGAATAACTAACTATCTCTAGGAGCTTCCCCACCAGTGAAGTTAAACTGACTGATCTGTAATTGCTGAGATTACCCTTACAAATGCTTGCAATTTTCCAGTCTTCGGCACCTCATTCTTCTCTAGACTATGGCCACTGCCCCTGCAATTTCCACTCCAAATTCCTTGGACACATCCAATCCCAATGCCTTGTCAAACACTTCTAGCCCAATTTTGAACCTTTCTAGTGCTCAGGTTTCTTCCTGTCAACATAGCTTGGGTATCATCTCTCTCTTAGATAAAAACAGATGCAAAGTATTTATTTAACACCCCCACCATGCCCCTTGTTTCTAGGTGTAAACCCCATTTTTGGTCCCCAATCAACCTTACTCCTTTTACCACCTCCTGGGGAGGGGAAAAGCAAGATATGATTGAGATTTATAAAATTGAGGGGCACTGACAGGAAGAAGCTTTTCCCTTTGGTGGAGGAATCAATGACTGGGACATAGAATTAAGAAAAGGGCAGGAGTTTTAGAGGGGATGGGAGCAAACATTTCTTTTCATCAGGGTACTGGAAATCTGGAGCTCATTGTCCGTAAGGGTGGCAGAAATACAACTCTCAACATTTGAGCATTTAGATGTACATTTGCAATACTACAGTATTCAAGGCTATTGGCCAAGTGTTGGAAAATGGAATTAGAATAATTAGGTGGTTGTTTTTGACCGGTACAGACTCTATGAGCCTTAGGACGTTCTACTGTCAACCTGTGACTTTATGAATCTTATCTTGACCAAAAGCTCAGTGTTGGAAGAACAATCCACATTTTCTTTTTAAAAAAGCAGGCCCTATTGCTTACGAGCAATAGGGGAAGTTTAATTATTCACCGCTGGCTTACAAAATGAAAAGACAAAGCAATCTGCATTTTGTGGAAACGTTAAGGCAGTTTTCAAGTATCGAGTATGTAGTTACTGTTACGATGTTAGTACTGGAGAAACCAGACACCAAACTGAAACTGGCTTGATAGATCGAAATTTGTGTTTTTTTTTTACAATCGATCATTACCTGAAAGACAAATATGCTGTGCTGCAGATTTGATTTTACAATAAAGCAGGAGTTTCCTCCTCAAAAGAAATAATAATAGATTAAACTAATAAACTAACATACCAATTTTAGAGATTAACACACACGATAAAAGTACAATTCGATCTATCTCAAAAGTTTTATTTTGCAGTACTCAAGTACCAGATACAGACATTTTCTAACACATCTGTAGGTTTGACTCAGTTGTTTCTTTCAATTCCTTGTCTTGAGTTTGTTTACTCATATTTTGATTATTCTCACAACCAAATTTAGATTTTCTCAGCTTCAACTAACCCCTTCAGGGTTCTAAACAAACACTCCAGTTTGGAGTTTTCAATAAAAGCCATTATATGGAGGTAACCTATTTCCTAACTGTTGTGAACTAACTCCTTTCTCCAGGAGAAATTCCTGTATCAAATTTCATTCCAGGACATCAGTAAACTGAATCAAAAGCCTTTTTTTGCTTTGGTAAAAATCCTTACTCCCAATTCTTCGAAATCAAAAGCTAACGGTTTTCAAATGTTTGTTTTCTTGCCAAAACTCTCATGATACAAAAAAATTCCCAACATCACTCAAGGAAAATGTGCTCATTCTGGTTTTAAAAAAATTGAGAGTCTAGAGAGACTGACAAGCTAAATCATTAAACCCTCATGCACACAGAACAAAACCCACATCATTAGTTCAAAATCTAAACTCTAAAATAAACGTCAAAACATTTAAAACATACTTGCATCACATTACAGGTAAATAACTTGTTCTTAAAAAAATGTGTTTCTAGTCCTGAGCTTTAATCTTGTAAAGAATTTCCATTTTTCATTAAGGGCCTCTGGATACGCGACTGTTCCTGAAAGTCTTTTAAAAATTCTAAATGCATTTAACTCATTAGTGTTTCAATGGGGGTAGCATGAGGGCACAGGGAGGAGGAATGTGAGAACTTAAAAACAGATAAGCACAGAAGAAACAAAAAGACAAAAAAAGGTGTTTTACTTTGAGAACTTTTCTGGAGAATATTTCTTCTTAGTATCCCAGACTAAACTGCAAATTCGTAACTGGGAGATTTATTGTCACACATGTCTACCTGATCGTTCTGCTTTCAGGTTTCTGTGGCAGAGCTTAATAAAAATTGTCAACTTTTAAAACCCTGTATGTGATACTGACATAGGAACTCAGTCAAATGCTTTGTGCCAGCTATCAAGCCAAGTCATGATTTTCCTAGAGAAAGAGTCAGAATATTTAAAAACATTAATTCAAACAACGCAGCAGCGAAAGTTCAACACACTCCTTATCAACACCCCTGTTCAATTGAAACAGTACATACATAGCAAGTCTAAATAAACAGTAGTCCAGAAAATAAAAGTAGAAATTATCACTCTCCAAAATCAGTCTGATGGTTCAGCAAGAATCATACCAAAATCCATTTCTCCCACATTTAAATTAATCCCATCTTACCAGTTCCTTTGTTTTTATCCACATAGCAGTACTTCAATTCATAGTCTTTGAGTAGTTCATGTATCTCCTGAATCATGAAACAGAATCAAGAATTAGCCATCTAATCAAGCATAAACAAACGCATAAACAAAAGAATGATTAAATTCCACTAAACACCAAAATGCTGAGAGCTCAGATAAATAAGAGCAATTTGTTGTAGTTAGAAGTTCAGATTTGGAATATAAACGTGGTTATAAAAATATGGCAGAGTAAAAAAGTGTAATCAAATTCTTAATAGAATCTGCATACTTATGAAACACTGCGCTAACCAGAAACACCAATTTCAACTGATTTTATAAAACTAGCATTTTAATTTAATGTAGATAATCCTTCAATAAATAAGCCCTCGCTGGCTACCTAGCTTCTCCTTAAGGAGGCATACGTCAGGTATAGACAGCTGGGATCGAGTGAATCCCCCGAAGAGCATACAAGGGTAGTAGGCGTATACTCCATAGAGAAATCAGGGGAGCTAAAAGGGGGCAAGAGATAGATTGGGCAAATAGGGTTAAGGAGAATCCAAAGGGATTCTACAATTACATTAAGGACAAAAGGGTAATTAGGGAGGAAATAGGGCCCCTTAAAGATGGGCTATGGAAAAAGCACAATCTGCCATTACCTCTGCGACAGATCACAAGATGACATAACATGGTCAGACACACTAGTCACCTTACCATACATCAGAGACATGTCAGAGATGACCACAAGACTACTCAGACCGCTAGGTATCAGGATAGCCCACAAACCACCCTGCGACATCTACTGACAAACATAAAGGATCCCACGCCCACAACCAATAAAACTAACGTAATATACAAAATACCATGCAAGGACTGTGAAAAACATTACATAGACCAAATTGGAAGAAAATTGACAATAAGGATACACGTACACCAACTAGCCAACAAGTGACATGACCAACTCTCACTGGTCTCAATACACACTGACAAAGAAGGACACAAATTCGACTGGGACAACACGTTCATAATAGTACGAGCCAAACAGACAATTCATGGATAGTAGGAACTGCAGATGCTGGAGAATCTGAGATAACAAGGTGTACAGCTGGATGAACACAGCAGGCCAAGCAGCATCAGAGGAGCAGGAAAGCTGACGTTTCGGGCCTAATTTCTGAAGAAGGGTCTAGGCCCGAAACATCAGCTTTCCTGCTCCTCTGATGCTGCTTGGCCTGCTGTGTTCATCCAGCTCTACACCTTGTTATCTCAGACAATTCATGGAGTTCTGGTTGGAATGCGAGGCCACCATCAACAAACACATTGAACTGGACCTGATATACAAACCACTGAAAACCAGAACTTGAAGCAATGTCAACCAGCCCAGCAAACCGAGGCAAATAAATAACAAGCGGGACAGAACACCAACGCTTCACAGGAGCCACACTGACGGTGTTACCTAGGAGGGTGACAAAACGTCTGCAACCAAACACACCTGTTCGGTGAGCAAATCTACAACTTCATGTTTTTCAGTATCTTGCTAGCTAACTTGCTATTCCTCTATCAATTTCTTGCCCATTCTTACCTTAATTCTAAAATCTTCCCAATCCACTTGCTGACAACATTCAAAGGCTCTTCTTTTAATATCATATCACCTTTAACTTCCGCCAGCTATGGTTGGACAATTTTACCTTTTCCCACCCTCACTTCCTTAAAGAAATGCACATTTATTGCAAATTGCAGTCCTACAACTCTCTACTTGCTAATCCTCTTGAAGACGCTACTTAAAATTCACTTCTGTTACCAATTGTTAATGATCCCTCAATGTTGCACACACTGCTTAAGTGTCAACTTTTGATGAACTTCTAGGTCATAGACAGGATGGAACATGTACTTTTCACAGGCCCTCCTTCTTACAGCTACCTACACCCAGCACCAGTACCCCAGAAACAGAGGAAGAGGTTTTATCATTGAAGATGAATCTGGGTTTCATATGTGGTTAATGTTTTAACTTTCCTCCTTCTGCCCTGTTAAAACCCCAACATACTGACCTGTACAAACTACTACTACCTATATCCTATGCAGTGGCATAGAGGTAAAGTCACTGGACCGGTAATCCAGAGATCTGGGCCAATGACCTGTGGGTTAAAATCTCACCATGGCAGATGACAGAATTTGACTTCAATAAAAGTCTGGAATAAAAACCTAGCCTAATGGCAAACATGTAACCACTGTTGATTATCATAAAAGCCCATCTGCCTCACTCATGCCCCTTATGGGAGGATTGTTGGAGTCTCATGTAGGCCAGTTATGTGGTTGGCTCTTAACTGGATTCAACAGGATTCAGGATTTAATAAATCCTGGCTTAGGCAAAGACATACAAGTTCCATTAATGAATTTTAAAATATCCCAACTTCAAACATATAGTAGTAAACTTGATTTATAGTTTTTAACCTGTTTCATGATAAATTTAGGAGATCAAGAGATATCAAGAAAGTACCTTTCAGTACCATTTGGAGTGTAAAGGTCATTATTGTTCACCCTGAAGTCTGCTATTCCAGGGTACTTTGTACACAAGGTCACATCTCAGTTAACCAATTGAGAAGTGCTACAACAGCAAACTTCGCACAGAGCACAAGAAAGCACGTGTACATGAGAAAGAAACTGCCTTCATAATGCACCTTTAAGACTTCTGCACATCTGGAATCACTTTAAGGCCAATGAAGCACTTCTGAAATGTTATTAGTATTAAAATGTTGGAAACCGGGCAAGAAAAACAAGCACAACAAACTTCCACAAATGCAACACAAAGATTATTTGTTTTTTGAGATACTGATTGAAGGATAACTATTGGCCAGGACAGCATGGATAACCTCCTTGCTCTTCGCCAAAGACATGCCATGGATTCGTTTACATCAATCCAAGCAGGCAGATGAAGCCTCAGTTTAATATCTCATCCAAAAGACACACCCAGTGGCACAGAACTCCATCAGTACCACACTGTCAGCCTTGACTTTTGTGCTGATGTCCATTACAGATTGGGTATTGCTGGATTCCACAGTATCAGCAGCCAAGTCTGCTTGTAGCTCTGCAATAGTTGCAGTGTTACAGAAGATAACTTGATATGAAGAAACAATAAAATTGAAAGGCCTCAAAAAACTGAATATTTTATAGATTGCAATAATAGATGTTAAAACTGCTAATAAGGCTACTTTTGCAGTTTTTTATAGTTTACTGATACATTCCAAACAAAGAAATGGATAAAAGGAGAAGGATATTTCATTCGCCAATCTTGTTCTACCATTCATCAAACATTGGTTAAATTTCACATTCACAGAGTCACACTTGCCCTATACCCCTTAATACCTTTAGGTAACAAAAATCTGTCAATATCAGATTTAACTTTGCAATTGCTGTAGCATCAATTGCCATTAAAAGAAAGCTCCTAGGTTTGTGTGTACATTGGTGCGTGTAGGTGGAGGGGGCTGGCAAAAGTGTGTTTCATAATTTCACTACTGAAATGACTGGTTGCACTGTTTGACTAAACCCTCTTGTTCTCACTCAAAGCTTTTAGCAACCACTCAGCCCACTAGAACCAAATATAGCTCAGCCAACATGGTCTCTGACTTCATCGCAATTCTGAGCTATTTTACAGAGGCTGGTGGGAATTCTGAGGAGTTGGACAGCAGCTGGCAGGACTGCAAAACTGCAAGCAGCAGGTAATCAAGAAGCATAATGACGGTCAATTAAAACTCATCAAAAGAGACTGGAATTTTTCAGTCAGCCTTTAGATTCCTACACAAAGGAAAGTTTAGGTGCTGGGAGCAGCCTCCTGGCAGCAGACTACAGTCCATCATTCTAACTAGGCCAAAAGGCCATCCTTGCCTGGATCCCACAAGTCAGCCTGTAGAAAGGTTCATCCAATAGTTTGCTCACAGTGGTGGCCTTGTTGTGAAAGCCAATTTTTAATTCAAAGATATTGGAATAATTTCAATATTTCAACTTGAAGCACACTCTCCGTTATTTACCTCCTACTGCAGGCGGCTGCAGCTGCTGCTTTCAAGCTCTCTCAGGTTTTGAGCCCACTTTCCTCTATTTAACAGCAAGGCTGCTCTCAAATCATTAACTGGGTATCATGGAGAAAATCAAAGAGTAACCAGTTGCCACACAGTACATGCTTCTAATCCACATTTCACTCTGACAGCAGGGAAGGGGACATGCCAGCTGGAGACTCACTAACTAGTAGAAATGGATTCCATCCACCTTCATTCCGTTCCCCTTAATATCTTAAACTTTGATCAAATAATCCTTCATTCTAAATTCCAGGGAAATTTAATCCTAATTTGGATAATGTTTTGTAATTTAAGCCTTAGAGTTTAGAAATAATTTTGGTAAATCTATGCTGCACTTCCTCCAAGGCCAGTAACTACTACTTCAAGAGTAGCTTCCAGAGCCAGATGCAGTGCTCCAGGTGTGATCTAACAAGATTTCATGTGGCTGAATCAAGATTTCCAAACACCATGTCTGTATTTTATCCCTCTAGATAGGATAGACAGCATTCCATTATCCTTTCACAGAAATTGCTACTTGAGGTTCCAACAAAGGGTCACTAGACCAGAAACGTTAACTGATTTCTCTCCACAAATGCTGCCAACCCTACTGAGCTTTTCCAGTAATGTGTTTTTGTTTCTGATTTACAGCATCTGCAGTTCTTTCTGTTTCCATTATCCTTTGTTTACTCTGTGTATCCATAATATTTTTAATAATTTAAAGGATCCAAATTTCTCAGGCCTCCTCTTCTCTTCCTAATTCAAAAATGGTAATTATGTAGCATGGAAACCTTTAGTTCTAATTTACACAGGTATAAAACCATAATGAATGCTTATTATGAAATTTCTTGTCTGATTACGTTTGTTCAGCCAGTAATTTTTCCCAACTATTTCAACTTGATTGGTTTGTCTCCAATAATGTACAAGGCAATATCCTGCACCGAACATAAGCAGTAGAGATCCTTCCGGTTTAAAAAGTGTAAATCAGTGGAAGGAAAACCAGTTTATCAGTTGCACAAATGGCTTAAAAATCCCAATCGTTGGCATAAATTCTATTAAAATGTTAAAAGGTGGGAAGGGAGAAAATGTGAAAGTGAAAAAATGAAAGAATTATTTTGCGGAAACGCAACTGTGCGGCTGAAAAAAAAAATTTCCTTAAGTACTGCTTTGTAAACGTAGAAAAGTTCAGCCCTCTCAGTGTCGAGGTAGGTGGAGTTTGTTCCACAAAAACCATGCAAAGCTTGGCAGCCCGACAAAAGCCCGACACGTTGCCCGCCAGCACTTAGACTTTTAAATCACACCTTACTGAGGATTTATACATTAACATTTTTTTTTGGTGGGGGGTGGTCAGAAAAAAACGCCAAACCTCTAAAGCCAAGTCATTACCGTTTAAAGAAACTAATTTCCGGAGATCAGACGCATTCAAAAAAAATAATCAGTGGAGACTCAATTTCAAATATATAAAGGACAAAGGCGATTCCTTGTTGGGGAAAGTGGTTTCACTGGTAGGGGAAGTGGAAAGGCAGCAGAAAGCTGAGTAAATGGAGAGGCAGTGGCAGGCGGTGATGATGGTGAAGCTGCTCCTACTCCAGGTCCTGGAAAGTTGTCTATGAGGGAAGTTGCTGCCCGCAGGTGCGCGGCTAGGGCCCAACATTCACCAAAACACCGCTTTCGCAGCCAGGAGTCGGCATTTTAAAGTGACTCGCGACGTAAAGCGACCCCTCGGCCGCAAGGCTGAGTCAGAGACTCCCTCCCCCTCCCCCTCCCCCTCCCCCTCTCCCTCTCCCCTCCCTTCCCTCCCCCTCCCCCTCCCCCTCCCCGCGGACAGCCCGGTACCTGGCTACCGCTGTCCGTCCGCAGGTTCTTCACCAGGATTTTCCGCCTGTTGCTCAGCTCCTGGCGGGTCCTCTGCAGGCGCCGCTCGATCTCCTCAGGCTCCAGAGACGGCAGCAACTGTTCTTCCCCTATACCCCGCCGCGGGAAGACAGAGCCCGCTGCCGCTACCGTTGTTGCCGTCGTCGTTACCGCTACTGCTGGCGCTGGCGCCGTCACCGTCGTCGTCGTCGTCGCCGCCGCCTGCGGATACGAGAGCGCCGCCATTTTGCAGCAGCAACCGTTACGAACCAAAGCGGCCGCGAGCCCGAGGCCAGTGAAAGAAAAAGGGGCAGTGACACTGCCCCCTCAGCCCCGGGGCCGGTACTGCAATCTATTAGACACTGCCCCCTCAGCCCGGGGCCGGTACTACAACCCATCAGACTCCGCCCCCTCAGCCTGGGGCCGATACTGCATCCCTCGCACATCCCCTCTTCAACCCGGGGCCGGTACTACAATCCATCGGACACGGGCATCTCAACCCAGGGCCGGAACTGCAATCCATCGGACACCGCCCCCTCAGTCCGGGGCCGGTACTGCAATCCATCGGACACCGCCCCCTCAGTCCAGGGCCGGTACTGCAATCCATCAGACTCCACTCTCCACAGGCCAGGCCAATACTCCCACCCTGATGGAAAGTACATAAATGAGAAAACCAAGAATTACAAATGCTGGAAATCTGAAACAAAAACAGAAATTGCTGGATAAACTCAGCAGGTTGGCAGCATCTGTGGAGAGAGAAACAGTGTTAACATTGTGCATCCAGTGACACATCTTCAGAACTAGGTAAAAGGGAACTGATTATAAGGCTCTCACGAGATCCTACCAGAGTGTACAAAAGCAGAAATTGTAAATCTGAAATAAAACATAGCATAAAAACTGAATGAACTACAGATGCTGTAAATCAGAAGCAAAAACAGAAATTGCTGGAAAAGCTCAGTAGGTCTGGCAACATCTAATCAGAGTTAACATTTCTGAACCAGGCCTGAGAAAGGGTCACTACACCCGAAATGTTGACTCTGATTTCTCCCCTCGGATGCTGCCAGACCTGCTGAGCTTTTCCAGCGATTTCTGTTTTAGTTTCTGATCAAAGATAGCATGACGGAATTGCAAAGCAGTATAGACAGTATTTGAGGAGAAAGACAATTGCATTTTAACTCCAGTGGAATTACAGTAGTTTCAAAGCTGTAAATTCAGCTTGGAAGAGCTGCTAAACAACTTTCAACAACCTGTAATCCACATAATCTTTTACAACAGAAAATAGCCATGAAGAGATGTGCAAGGGCGTAGAGAAACAAAAGATGGATGCCAAACCAAAGGTGGCATTAGCAGAATAATTAAAAAGATTGATTAATCAGGCGGCTTCCTTGAGTGGTTTGATGCTGCACTGAGTTTGGGTTGTTTACCCAACGGTCAAGGAGATCGCAAAAGTCAAAAATTGTCTTCATCTTAGAATTCAAAGTAACACTATTATACATTAAGTAAATACTGCTGTACATGGCAATCATAGATACACTGATCTCATAGTTACATTAAGTAAAAACTAACCTATCTCCTTCATATCTTGATATCTATGATGCAGTCTGGTCCACTGCAGAGTTCCAGACTCCAGAGTCCTTGAGTATTACTCCACCCGCACAGTCCAGTCAGTGACACTATTGCAAAATTGTTGCAGTGTCCTTATACCCTTACACAATCATTTGAGCATTAGATGAAACAGAGAGGCAATGTGTTTTAAAATGGAATTCAAATAGGTGGTAGGAGGCATGGCCGCTGATAATCAGATAAAAATGGGGAAGGATGGAGTCAGAGAAATAGAGAATTTGGGAAATGAAGTTGTTGTAGCACAGGAGAATAACACACAAACATGAATAATAATATGACTTACTGAAAATAGAGATATTTGTAGTCATGTGAAATCTATGCTCCCATTAGTGATGAGCAATAATTTTTATTTTACAGAACTATATGTTCATGGCAAGAGAGGATATCTTATCTGGAGCCCAACATACCCATGCTACCATTCCACATGATCTGATGTTAGTATGATCCAGATCCCTTCATACATGCTCAGTAGTTATCCCCCCAACTTCTTTCAACGTACCCTTTTTTACCATTTAGCCTTAATCAGCTAACACCTTACTCCACTCTTCCCTCCACCCTGCAAGTTTCTTACAATGAGACATTAACCTCCAACAATGTTCTTGGCTCTCTTGAAGGATATATCAGAAGTACCTGTTTATGGTTTCCTTTTCAGGGAATGCAATGGTGGAGTAGAATGGCAGCCTCTGACAACAGGGGCTGTAACATTCTCAAAGACCTGAAGGTCAAAACAGAGAAGACCAATCAAGGAAAAACTGATTCAAGAGAGAACACTCCAGAATCCAAATAAAGACAGCCTCTTTAACGACAAGTGAAAGAACTGAAATTCTCACTCTCCTCCTGTATTGCCCTCTGGTCTAGGGCTGAATCTAATCGACAAAAACAACAGCAAGAGGTATTCTGAAACAATTTAGGATGCGAGAAAACAAAAGCTTCCCCACTACTTCCTTGTAGTGGCTTCACTTTGACACTTGTAACAGCTTAATACTGCTGAGGTCCAGTCAATGATAACTCGGAGACTCAAAGTAGAATTGTCCCATCATTGACAATGGGATAAACTGCTGGGCCCAAATCTAGAGGAAATCTTTGTGTTGTACTCCAATTTCCAGGCTAAATTCAATAGGTCAAGTTTATTATATGTACAACCTCTGACATTAACAAGGGAACAAAGATTCTTATTCTCTCTTTCCAGGTTATCTTTTTGAAACACAAGGTCATCACTTATTAACAAGAGATGAAAGATTTGATCAACTAATTGTTCACCACCATTTTGAAGTTCTGAGCATTTCTATAACCGAGGGACATTTTCCTACATGGATAGATCACTTTGTTATATCAGTTGCATGAGAACACTGACTGTCTGTGCACAGGATATTTGTAAATCTTCTGCAAGCATTTCTTTTTTGGTCTGGAAAGCTTGATTGTCATGTGTGACTGTTAAGATGTGGATGCTTCATCTGAGATAGTTAGAGTGAGAACTCTTGTTGTACTTTAATCCACTTTGGCTTGTTTTAATGCTCAACTTTAAGATTCACTGAGGCATTCTGTATCTCCAGGAACTTAATATTTGCTCCTGTAGGTCTTGGACTAAAACTCTCTAGTGTTCCCATAGCTTGCTGATGTGTTTCCATTGCAACCTCCAGCTGCCATATATATGGATTGACAATTTCTACACTGAATATTGACTTGATCCAATTTGGACACAATTTTTCTCTACAACATTATTTTATTCTACAATATTCAAGGTCTGAGCCAGTATAGACCAAGGGTGATAGGCAAGTGGAACTTGGTGAAAGTTAGGGTCAAGGCAAAAGTGTTTTGGATGAAGGATATTTATAAGGGTTGAGGATGGATTGTCAGTTATTATGAAATATTAATCTAATGCCAATGCTATCAGCTATTCTATTGCTATTTATCCATTTGCTGAAGCAGGAATCAATCTGGGCAGAATCTTATAAGGGCTTGAGTGATATGGGTACGATGAGATTTGGAACAGTATCGCATAAGAATTCCAGCAAGGTCTGTCTCGATGTCAGGAGCAAATCGTTCCATCTTTTATGCATTCGTCAGACAGTGAGGTGAGTTTTGTTGCTAGGTAGCAGCAAGTTGTGAATTAAGAGGGATTATAGCTAGTTAAACACCTTATTAATGGCAAAACTCATTAATATTCAGCTTCCTATCTTACCAAATGCTGCAAACAAACTAGACATATCAAGATAGAAGTCAGGGCTGTTACTTGGTGACTTCAGCTTATTGCTTGCTTCAAAGGGCCACCACATTAAACAACAGGCACCAACATCTCAAGACACGTTGCTTGGGCACAGTCACATTCAGTACATGGACCCTGGCATCCAATATGTCCGACTCTAAGAAAGCTCATGACACATCTTCAATCCACATACAGGACATTGTTGCGCCTCAGGCTGAGGCAGCAACTATCATTGGATAGGTAAGGGTAAAGTGTGGAAAATAGGCTTTCTTCAGTACTATGAACTAAACGTGGTGTAAAGTTGACTGAGATTTTGAAAACCATTATGAACATTCACCCATTGATCTAGGCTATTCATTCGCTGTGTTGAAGGGATCGTGACTATGATGTCTAAGCCAGCTGAGGAGCCCACCAAATGTAAGCAAGAAGAATGGCAAGTTGGGTAAGCTACCTGAGTGCTAATGATGCTTGCAGAATCAAACTCCTATATTAATCCATATCTTCAAAAGAATTAAGGGGTAGCATGGTGGCTCAGTGGTTAGTAATGCGAACTCAGAGCGCCAGGGACCCAGGTTCAATCCCAGAATTGGATGAATGTCTGTTTGAAGTTTGCACATTCTCCCCATGTCTGCGTGGGTTTCCACCAGGTGCTCTGGTTTCCTCCCACAGTTGCCACAAATTAGGTGGATTGGCAATGAGGTGTGCAGGGTTGTGGGGGTGAGTCTGGATAGGATGATCTTTGGAGAGTTGGTGTGGACTTGTTGGGCTTAATGACCTGTTTCCACACTGTAGGGATTCTATGGATTGTAAACACTGTCATAGTGTGCAGCGAGGGCACTATGCTCAGGGACACATACCTGGCTAATGGACTGGACCGCATTGCATCTCCAGGCTTGTCACTTACCTTGCCTTGCCTTGCCTATTCCCATCTTGCCTCTCAGTCAGAGATACCAGGATCATATTACGCTGACTTGCCATGCCGTTTAGCACTGATACAAAGCCAGGAAGTTCGTCATGGTTGCCAGCAGTCCTCAGTCATGTCAAGGGAGATAGCCTTTGGATAGGAAGCCCCAACGCAACAAGTCAAGGGCAGCTTCCAATACCAGTCCAGCTGCTTGGATAGAGTCAGTCAACCACTTGGGGCAGACAGAGTCAGGCTGTCCAACATTTAAGGAGGGAAGAACCAAGTGTCAGGTAACCCACCATGCATCTTGACTCCAACTGCTACATTGCAGGCTGTTTTCCGCCTGGAATGAGAAAGAGGCAGGTATTATGGGTGATAAAGGAGAGGGTGAGGCACAGCTGTTTCTTTTGGAGAAGGAGTGGATGTTGACTGAGGGAATGCAGGACTAGCAGTTTTGGATTTGTGGTAGGTTACAGCAAGTGAGGGAAGATGTATTAGGCAACAATGAGATTGGTAGAGTCTGAACTTTGGAGATAAAATGACTGTGTGGTACTGGAGACAAGGTGGTGCCACTTACACA